ATAAGTTTACCCAGCACGCTTGTAAAGGAGATAGGCCTATAGCTGTCAAAGTTGGTAGGGTCTTTGCCCGTTTTCAGTACTGGTATTTCTATGGCAACTTTCCATTGGTTGGGTACGAGACTGGTCTCCTAGATTTTTCGGTTTGGTACAAGACTGGTCTCCCAGATTTTGTTGTAAAGCACATGGTTTCCTTGGCTGTTGGTCCCATTCTAATTAGAAATTCCGGATGAATACCAGGAGACTCTTTGCACTTGAGTTGTTTTATCGCAGCATCATGAATACCGTCTGCCAGGAGACTTCTTACACTTGAGCTGTTTTGTCGCAGCATTAAGTTCGCAAGGTCTGAACGGTACAGTAAGTACATTATTTGGTGTTGCGTCATCCTTAATTTCACCAAACTGTCTTACTTGTATCTTTACCGTGTCCTCCTTAATTTCACCAAGCTGTCTTACTTGTATCTTTAAATCTCTTGAAGACTTTGTGACATAATGTTTTTTCTTTGGTTTATGAGAATAGAACCTCGCATATCAGTTAGCTATTTTGGATTCGGTGGTAAGCAGTTTGTTTTTAGACTTATTGGTTCTTTCTTGGGTCTTTCCCTGTTGTTTTTAAGGTTATCCAGGAATTTGAAAGTGCGTTGGCTATCACTTTGATAGCTAATATTTGAGATGAACTTGTCGAAGGAAGTGCATTTGGCTTGTAAGATGGCTTGCCTTAGGACAGCTGATTGTTATTGCTTGTAAGATGGCTTGCCTTAGGACAGCTGATTGTCGTTTGCTTGTAAGATGGCTTGCCTTAGGCCAGCTGATTGTCGTCTGCTTGTAAGATGACTTGCCTTAGGACAGCTGATTGTCGTCTCCAGGCTTGTACGTCTTCCAAGGACAGCTGATTGTCGTCTCCAGGCTTGTACGTCTTCCGTTCTTCCAGTCAGGTGTTGCGAAGGGCGTCCCGCTTTCTTTTCAGTTCCTCCTCTTTCCTTTCAGTTCCTCAAGGTGTTTAGACCAAAACACCCGATAGCGTTTAATCTTGCCTCGGGGAATAGTTTTCTTTACACATTTGATCATAATATTTGTGATATCATTGCAAAGTTTGTCAGGCGAAGTTGAGGGGACTTGTGTGAAGTTGAGGATGTTGGTTGAAGTTGAAGGGACTTGTGTGAAGTTCAATCTCTAAAAGGTTTGTGAATCTAGGCCAGTCAGCCTTCTTACTAAAAGGTTTGTGAATCTAGGCCAGTCAGACTTCTTGAAGTACCATGTTAGCTTAGTTGGCATTTTCCTTGTCATGCTTTTGCCACCGATGGTAATACTAGCAATGATTGGTTTGTGACCAGAACCATGATCGTCAATTTTTTTTCGGCGTGTATGCTCGCTGATGTCACTTGAAGCCAAGACTAAGTCAGGAATTGTTCTGGTTCCACTGTAGTGCAAATTTGTAGCCGGATCCTCACTACTGTATATAAGTTTTAGAGGGTTGCTGTTTTTACTTGTCTTTGATTTCTTTTCCGGCTTTGTTTCTATCCTTGTAGCCCCATCTGATTTAATGGTCGTTGAAGTCTCCTAATATTACAGTATTTTGTGAGGTGTTCGGAAATTCAAAGTTGGGACTATTCTGGGGTGGATTCTAGACTGCAAATACCTTGAAGTGGTTTTGACATTTCCAAACATCAAATCTGTTTATTTCATTTGTGTCTTGTGTCGAGCTTATACTCTTGATCAGATCAAGTTAGAATTCCACTTGCAACTTGGCGGTATTTAGGTAGAAGGTAGAGGGTGTAACTTGGGAATTAGTAGTACTTCAGTTTTTCATCCGAAATGTTTGCTTGCATAATGGTGAAAATTTCTACATCATAAGTTTGTAGGACTTTCCGTACTTGGATCTTTTTGTCCTGCGACATCCCTCCAGCATTCCACATGGATCTTTTTGTCCTGTGACATCCCTCCAGCATTCCACTCTGTACTTGGACCTTTTTGTCCTGTGACATCCCTCCAGCATTCCACTGGAGGATCTAGATGACATTCCTTCAGCATTCCACTGGAGGATCTGAAGACGTTGGAATCGCCCTGACGAGGGCGATTTTTCTTATAGCCTTTTTATTTGCCCTGTCAAGGGCGATTTCTCTTTTAGCCTTGTTTCAAGCTAATCATAATAAATCGAAGTCAAATCAAATCAAACGCCGATTGATAGACTTTTTTGCCATACGAAGATACGTTGTCCAGGATGCTCCATGTTGAGGTATGTCTATCATGCGCCCCTGTCTATGTGCAGTTCGAATTTTTACTAATTTAACAGCTCATTTGTTTTGTATTAAATTTATTTTGTTTCATCACTGTTGTCATTTAGCTGTGCATAAAAATACATGAGGGTATCTTTCGATAATTATTTAACTTTAAGGTGAAAAAGACATTTGATTAAAACTTGCCCCAGATGAACACAAATTGACAGCCTAATATTAGCATAGAAGAAGCAGAGTATCGATGGGCTCGAATCGATAATAGATGCCATTTGACCTTGACGCGCTTCCTCTGTGCTTCGTTAGTTCTGTGAGTCTAATCAATGAAGGAAGAATCTGTCACGGCGATTTCTGAACAAACAACAAGGTGAATTAATGCAGCAATCTACAACTGAAGGTCACAATAATAAACATCATTTTAATTATTCCATATAATTTTAACAATTACTTTTTTCTGCTAAATGTTTTCGTTAGAATATACATTTTAATTATTACATCAGTTACTAAAGAAAGTGGACTTTACAGGCCTAATCAGTTTAGAACATTAAGCGTTTCCATAAAATTGATTGTCACCATGGATATAAACAAGAAGGAAAACAGATTTATCGCCGCCTGTTATAGATGATGGGCAGACATTAGATATGTCAACATCTCATCAATGTTTTGGAGTTTGCTTTTAACTTAATATCACTCTCGGTTATATCTGGAATCTGACTAGATTACGATTCCAGACCATTTTCATTGGATTGAAAAGAAAACAAAGTCGTGCTACATCAATCATATCAATTTGGTTAAGGAAGCTGAACTAAAATTTAAATGTTGGAATAACATTTGGTTATGAGAACTGAAATAAATTGTAAATTTTGGAATAAAATTTTCGATTGTTTCCACCAGTAAATTGTTCCTAAGCACTAAGCTTTTTTTCTAAATTAAGCAAAATAACTTTGCAAAGCATAAATTTTAATCAAATTCTAACGGAATTGAATTATATTTGTTGACGAAATGTTAAGATTTGAAATAATTTTCTTCACTTCTTGAATCAAACTAAGGTAGTTAGCCATTGTGCTTTCAACCGCCAATAGAAAAGTTAGAATTCGTTTATTTATTGCATCATTAAAGGAACGGACCTATGGTATGGAAAGAATCGGTACTTATAAAACCAAGATAAATTTTGAAGCACTAAATGAACAATGATGCTTAGTCTTTTTTATTTTACTTTGTTGCACATAAATATCTTTTTAGGAAAGAAGGTTTCCGAATCGCCAGACTTACTATGTTCAAGAATCGTTACAAAACCAAGTGGCAAAACAGATCCTTTAATATTTTATGTTGGATATTTTCGAGTAAAAATGTTTATTTCTATAGGATCTAAATGTTTTTTTCTCGTTTGCAGTACATTTTAGCAGATCAGATATTCATTTCGATTCGAAATCGTGCTTGCATCATGGGAAGCATAGTGATTGGGATGCCTTGCAAGGTCGAATCTGGTAGATATTTTTATTTTACACTCGAAAGCTCTAATCATTTGCCTTTCTTAGGTTATGTCAATATTACATTCTATAACGCTACGGAATTCGAAACACTGTCGCTGGAAGCGAGCGTTATTGTACAGTGACATTTGCTCCAAAATGTGAATTCAAACCTGCTGCATTAGGTTAGAAAGCACTTAATTTATCGCTTTTTCCGAAAGATAAATAGCGCTATTTTCATTAAAACTTAAAAGCGTATTTTTTATCTATTTTAGGTGAACTAATGCCAGAAACTTCGTTTCCGTTTGCAAGATATGAATTAGGAAACAGTGCTGTCAATATTAGCTTTTCTGTGAAAGGATCGAGTGCCAACTCAGATGTGAGTATATTTTGATATAAGAAAAAACATTCATTTTATTCTAACCATGATAACATCAATGTACGAGTAGGTTTTATTAGCACTCAATTTAGCTTCATATAAATTAATAATAAATTTTAACTTTAAATAACTAATATTGAATCGATTCAAGGTCAGTTTGTACCAGGAGAGCGAATTGAAATGTACTTGGCATGGAGTGATTTTGGGCATATATGGAGAGCCTAAAAATTGCGGTAATAATTGTGGAATTACAATGAAAGTTAGATTTATGCAATATGAGTCCATTATTTCTTGAACCCACAGAGAACCTAACCGTTAACACGGAAAGGGATCAACTTGAATACAATTATGTGTATGAACGAGATGGAGAAGAAAACAGTACCAACTTTTTAATTGAAGGTGAATGGTCAAAAATAGGGGTTTCTATCTACTGGATGAGGAAAGGTATTGTCGCATTTGAACACATCATTCATTTCATTATTATTGTTTTCAAGCTAAAAGATGTCTGAATGTTTTAGGCCCGTCCGTTGATATAGTAGAATGCCAAAGTGAGTTACCATTTTCATAAAAATAATGTTCCATATTATATGACAATTATATACCTTTGATTTAAAATAGAATATGCTTTAACTTCTACGACAACAGGTAAGTTGCTCAAAAAATTGTAATTTTAAGGATATTAAATACCGTTTTTTCAATAATATTTCAAGCATTCCAAATTAAATTATAAATCGGAAAATTTCGCTAATTATAGAATTCTTGGTTAACCACTGCAATTTTGACATTTTCAGAGAGCGTCATTATTTCCTCAACAACAAGTGGTGGTAAGGCTCTATTCGTATCACTCCTGACATGCGTATTTGGCAACTTTCTATGAAATTACTCTGACTTTAGAAAATGATATTTGCTGTCCTTATAAGTTTATTATTATTATTAAATGAGTACTACGCACAAGTTGAAAATCGTAGTTAGACTTATGAAATTTTAAATGGTATTTATTGATTAGTTACTTCACATATTTAAAAAGTAATCGATGATGCAATTCAAATAAATTTAATTTACACTCCTTCAAAACTATGCTAACTTCCAATTATTTATTAATGTTCAAAGCAGCAGGCACAACTAGATGCATATTTACAAGCAAGTTACTCGTTTTGCAGTCACTTTAAATTACTCATTGCCTATTTTTAAATTACTCACTGCACTTTTGCATTCTTTGTATTATTCAGCTCTTCTTGGATTTATACAATTGATTCTCAAATAATGACAATAATCAGGAAGACCATTTTGAAATTGGCAAACTGATGACAACAAACTTTCAAACAAATCGTTTTTATATTTTTAATGACGCTTTATTGCCTGCCCAAAACGTAATCTTTGCGCAGAATTGACTCAAAAATCATTATCACAAACCATTTATTTAATCCAATTTTCATATTTTTATGTTTAATTTGCCCATATGTCTTGAGTATTGATACATAAAAGTTATCAAATTTACGAGGTTAATAGCAAAACCATCGTAACTACAGTAATGAAATATTTTGATTGTGAGTTAACTTAGCGGATTGACTAACTCAGAAATCTCTGGGGTAGATTCTCCCAGAACTTGCTAAGCTATATCTCAGCTATAGAAAAAACACGTTTATCTAGTAAACATATTGTGGATAAAGTGTACACGCAGGGAGCTTAATCATTATCAACATGGTAGATTAGTTTAAACAAACAGAGGCTACTGATTGGTCACTGACTATACGGTTGCTGCACACAGAGTTTTACGACCACACCTCCCAATCCTGACGTGTATGCATGTGATGACAAGTCCCACTCAGCTCCAAAATTTGTCAGTGATGATCTTGAATAGAAATGATAGCGAGATGAACAAAAATTGTGTTTTATAAATTGCCCAAGTGTCAAAATCTGTGTTTATGTGTTTGGTTATTTGAAGTGGAATCACAATTAATGAAATCCATTGTGCCACAGCATTCTAGATATGGTCAGATTCCCATGAAATATAACTCAGGTTTTATGTGCTCGTCTTTCATCAGAGAATTGCAAATTGAGAAAGCTAATTCTAAATTTACACAAAGATATGATATTCTGTGACTCCAAATTCTTACATCAGCACCGATAACATCGATAAATGCTGTTCGCATTTATTATAATTGTCCGCACATGTACAAAGACGGTCATATACCTTCAGGTATTTTGCTCTACATATGTCCTAAACTCATTCGGCCTAAATTTTCTACCCCTTTTACGAATATCATATTTGAGTTCCTCTTGAATCTTAGCGTCCACTCCAATCTTCTATAATCCATGCATGGAATATGCTATCATAGTATTACTATTTGAAAACTCGCCTTCTATAGAGCACGTCGTCTTCCAAACGATCATTTACCAAAATACAGAATAGTAGAAGATCGATTCTGCTGGGAAATTCAGTTTTTTTATTATCAGTAAAAATCGTGAAAAAATTGAAATCTTTAATTATGTCGGATGCATTTAATCGTTTTCAACTATTATGCTTGAATTGAAAAAAACAATGAAAATAAATTAATATAAGTTTTTTTTTAAATTATGAACATTAATCAATCAATCGAATTTAATGTTACATAACAACCTGGCCTATAAAAAAGGAATTATATTGTTATATGGAAAGAGACAAATCTTATGATAATGTATTCCATGTGATTCACTAATAGTTCGACAGTGTGTCATTTCTAGTCTGCTTTGAATCTACTGAAGAATTGACAATTTTTGCAAAATAATCACAAATATCAAAATATATTTGCAAACAAATAACTATCCGTTTTCGGAACACTGTAGAGTGTTTAGCCTTAAGGTAGTATTCTGGTCTGGGAAAAAAATTTTCGAAAATATTTGCATATTTTCATAGTTTACCTATACTAGAATATGTCTACTAGAGGACTTTTCAAATTTCAAATTAGTTTTGGAGATATAAGTATTTTATTGCAACTAATCGAACAAAAGACATATTTGGTTCACCGATGACCTGAATCTATATTGCTTAGTAAGCCATTTTGTTATATTATATATATATATATATATATATATATATATATATATTAAATTTTTCAAAACAAGAAAGCAAACAGATTTATTGTGATTGACAAGTTCAGCCAACCATTCAAAACCAGAAGATCGGACTCCTTGACCCCTTATCCATCTAAGGCGAACGCAGGACTCTTTTGCACAAATTTGTAAAGGAGAGTTTTTCATACAGTAATTGAAAAAAAAGACTTTCATAATTTTGGAAGGGCTCGTCAATCTCCCTAAACTAAAATAAAGCTATTGAGGAAACAATCGTTTGACGAGGAACAGGTAGATTTGGTATTGCGAGTTGTCGTGTTGGCGTGCTGTGTAGAGCGACGTGGATCTTAATTTTATGCACACCTTCTGGCAGAATAAACACGTAATAACTTAGGTTATCGATTGGTCGTATAACTGCAAACTTGCTATGATCGTTGATTGGTCGTCATGGCTATGGTCATTTATTGGTTGAGAACACTCTGCCTTTGTCATATTAATGCTGTGTTCCCTACTGGGGTCATAATGCCTTAACCACACATGGGCTCGTATTTAATGGCTTTTTGTAGTGTAAGACGATTTATCTCTGTATTTGTGAGTTGAAAAAAATGCTTTGGCTCATAAAACTTGTTCATAATTTGCTAAGTTAGGCAACCGTAACTTTCCAATTTAGTTTTTTTTGTTTTATGTAATAGAAAAATATTGATTCAATGTGTAAATTGACATTATGACGAGTCATGAGTATGTTGACTCTGGCACAGTATAACCACCTATTTCAAGGTCATCAATTAATTGCGCCAAATTCAAATTGAATTGATATTCACTAAAATGAAAAGTGAGGACTCGTTAAAGATAAAACAAATACCTATAATACGCCTGTTTCAAACTGATTAGAAATATAGGAGTTTCTATTGGCTAGACAAAATTCAATGAAAAATATGAGCTGAATTTTTCTTGATAATGATAGTTATTTAGTAGTGAAAGTCAATGGTGTTAAAAATTGAATTAAGCAAAAATCTGGCTATGTAATCTGCCTAAATTTAAAATTACAGAATTCATTGTAAGTTGTAAGTTTTTCAATTATTTATATCAGATAAAATGTTGAAATATTTTCATTTCTTATTTTTTCTCAAATAGCGTAAATTTTGTTTTTCTTTTTGCGTTTTAATAAAACTGGTAGGATAAAACTTTAACCTGAGCGAATTCATGCTTGCATTGACACTGGCATTTATTATTTCAATAATTGAAGTGTAATTTTTAATATTCTGTAGCACAATTAACCGCATCAAAGTTATCGTAACAAATCGATCTTTTGTTCAATTATCCACACATTTCTGAAAAACTTAAATGCTTTTAATGAAATATTTCTATTGCTTTTTAATAATTAATATATCATTTGTTCAGAAAATTACATGAAAAAAGATTTGAAATGGAATATTGTGTTAACAACTTGAGAAGCATCTAGCAAAAACTGTACTGAACACTGATAACTTCAGATTTGTGCTCAAGTTATTTATATCAAATGGCTGATGTTTTGATATCAATTGTTAGGCCATTAGTCGACCTCAGGTTTCACAGAGGGGAAGAAACAACAGTCACATTTCCCGGGGTGCACCACGTGGAGGTAAGTCTATCGCACATTCCGATTTGTGTTTAGGTAAAATTAAAATAAATTATAAATATTATACGATTGTTACTAATAAAATAAAGTTGAACAAGTGTGTTGGGTGTAAAATTATGAAAAATAAGTTTCATCAATCGAACACTTGATAACAGTGAGGCATTCGCGAATTTATTTCACTTTCCGACAAAATTCTAAATAGAGAAATAAACACAGGATCTGGATATATGCAGAATCGAAATAGACACTAACTTTCAATGCCTTTTTAAATATGCATGGAAAATTACTCATTTAGTCAAAAGGCATGTTATTACGTCATTTTTCTTTCGTCACTTCAACAGTTTTGATTTAAGTTTGTTTCACTAACTGTATTGGGAGTCTCAAAGTTGATCAACATTTTTAATTGATAATGCAACCGAAGGTTTTAATTTTTATCCAATAAGCACACAGCTTTAATGTTTAATGATTAGAGGAGATCATTTCATGATTTAAATCTTTATTTGAAATTTAATTTTGATGTTTTATTCAATTTTAGATTCATGAGATCCAACGAATGGCGATTGATTCATTGCCAAATTTGAAGTTAAAGCCTTTACTTCTAAAAGAAAATTTATTTTTACTTTGATTGAACCAATTTTCATTGTACTCAATGTCAACTTAAGTAAGGGGATCAGTTTTGAAGCAGCTTTAAAGCAAATATGGTTTGAAAAGGAATATTGGTGCAAGAATCGAATTTTTGGAACCACAAATGAAAATGTGATCAGTGCTGAAATCGCACTGTGATGATAAAGAGGAGTATCTGAGCAATAAGCTTTTAAAAAACTTTGCAAAATATTATAAAATATGTTTTGCAAAATTTATTGCTTCAAACTTACTAAATTAGAAACCCCTTAAAATGTAATGAAGCAAAGGTAAAAGCAAAATATATACCTGTTACAATATCAATCATGGAATCACATTAAAAAGATATATATTTTGCTTTAACGTTTGCTTTTATAACATTTTAAGGGGTTTCTAATTTAATAGTTTTGAAGCAATAAATATAAATATTTTTNACAAAGTTGTGGAAAAAATCTGTAATAAGACGAAAATTGTAAAGCTCACTTTAAACTGTTTATGTCAGATAGGAAGTAATATGAATCATTTGATGAACAAGATATAGGAAATGATTGAGAATAAATGATTTACGAATAGTCTTCCAGACCATCAACATTTATCAACACTCAATATTCATTGTGGATATTTATATATCAATTTCAAATCAAAGTGATTGTTCATTTATTTAGTTGAATAATGTCATATCTTTGAAATGGGCGTTGCTATTGAAATTTTAAAACTTAAATAACTACCTCTATGTGACTTTGCAAACTAATTCCGTTTTCAATATTCAAAGGTATAATAATTCCAAAGGTTTGTACTTTGACTAACTTAAAGATGAATTCCTCGCACTAAAATGGAGCCCATAGCAACGAATATCTCCTCAAAAATTATGTTCTAAACAGCATTGTAAATGAAAATCACTTAATGATCATGCTCGGTGGCAGCATATATGGATTTCGAATTAACTACAAAATCGGCACAACTTATTTGTGCATAGAGGTACCAGTCCATGAAATCTGACATTGCATGAAGCATCCGTCAGTTGAAAGAAGACGAAAGGAAATGTATTATGGCAAACGAAATGAGGTGATTTGGAGAGAACCTCACGTAAGAGAAGTCTGGAGATTTGAATCAACCTGGTTGAACGAAGCAGAGGGTTCGAGTCCAAAACGACCGGACGAGCTGCTAGCATCAAATTTGATTCAGAGCATTGTGATTGTTGGTCGAAAAAAGGCATTCAGACGCAGTAATTGAGTAAGGCTTATTCAAAATTCACACAAGTGTTGACAAAAATAAGAACTTAATGAATTAACCTCCTTTAAATTAGTTAACCTGTGGTTATCAATTGTCGTCAATTGTCGAATTATAGGCCTCTCGGTTTTACCAATTTGAACAGTCAACTTCCAGTCAAACTGTTCCAAATAAGAAACTTTTCAGCATTTCATTTCCCTGAGTCGCAATGCGAGAAATAAAGAAAAGTCGGCGATATAATTTCAATCATAATGGAAAAAAATTTAATCGAGTTCACATTGCGAAATCTACTGTTATTGCTGCAATACCTGAATTTCAATTGCTTATTTGACATTTGGACTGCGCTTATGTTCCATAGAAGGTGGAAAACGCCATAGACACCGATTATTCAAAATCGATTACAAATAACATCATATTATCGTATCCTCCAGTTAAAGTCATTTGCTCATTTGATGGCCATTTGCTCCAATACGTAAATTTGAACCAAGTCAAATCTATTATGTTTAATCAACTTAAAAGGCCTGCAGGTGACGTTAACAACTTGAATTTTCATTTCAGAGCAGAAACAACAGTTTAAGAAAGTTGAATGCAGCCGGTTTGCATTTAGCCAAGTTGAAAAACTTTGCCTGCTTAAACGGAGCCTCCATTAACAGGGAAGACGAAATGTGCAACTCAAATTCTGCAAACCATATCAAATACTTATGACTTTGCGTAACAACTTGGAATAAAAATTCAGATTTGTCAATGTTGTCATATTTCGTTTGAAACTGTTTTCAAGCTTGTTGTTTAGCTCATATTATGTATTTAACTTAAGTTTACATATACAATAAATGAGTTTGCATGAGTGTAAAATGCTTCAATGTTTCTTCAGAATGAGAGTAATCACTTGAATATCCATTGAGTAATTCCAAAAAGAACTAAATAAAACAAAACAAAAAAATTAGTGTGAAAAGTAGAAAAATTCGACATGTTTGCAATTGCCTATACTTAAAACAAATAACTTGCTTGAAATAATGATCCCGATTGTACAGCCTGTATTTTAAAATGAATAATATAAAAAACAATTAAAATCAATATTTATCTAGAATTTCTGCCTTAACATTGCAATTAATACTTATTAGTTAACTAATTGAAACAGTCGCAATGGTACCCTACTTTACTAAGAACGTTCCTAATAACGCGATTTTTAAATAAGAACTTTAAAAGGTTAGCAAATATTTACTAATTTATAATATTTTTTATCTGCCACTGAGGGATCTGATTAATCTCGGATGGTATACAAGACGGTGGAAAAAATGAATTCGATTGGCAACTCACCACTGCTTGTTGTTGTCAGCGTCACTAAAAATGACTGAATTTGTGATGAACATAAATTCGTTTAACTAGGGTTGAATTTGCATAATTAATTCAAAATATTAGAAATGTTTTCTTATAGAATTTCAAAAGATAAAATTCATTGTTAGAAACTAGAAACAAACTGTTGCATGCAATCATGTCAGGTGACAAGCCTAAAGAGAAGAAGTTTTCTTAGTATGTCAAATCAAATCATGAAAAAATAATTTGCATTCCATGGACGACTGACCTTCTTTCTCCCAATCGACAGTAACTGCCACAATTGAATAATTGTTTTGAATACTAAATGTTGTAAAGGTATCATCATTAGTTCGCTCATAATCGAATGCGTAATCAAGCTGATCTTTTTCGGCATTTTTAACGAGATCCTCTATAATAAAACGTGACGATTTAAGTTAGTGGAACTTCCCGAACAGAGTCATTCAAAATGACCTACTACCAATTTTCTTGCTTGAATTCTGATCGACCTTTCCTCCAAACCAAACACAGACATCAGCCCTATTCTTTAACAAAACGGTCTGCAAAATAAGAAAAAGCAAAAAAATTTCACATATTTGATAACACAATTTTTTCTTGATGTAATTTACTTTATTGAATATTTGCAGTCTAAGGAAATATTAATTTAACTATAATTGGAAGACGAGTACAAACCTCTATGTCGGTAGATGGTCCTCTTTGGGAAAATCTAATTGAGACAGAATTCTTTCCACCTTGAAATCTAAGAAACGGAAATGAGGCTTGGGGCATCACGTGCCCTATAATGCAACAAATATTAGTTTTAATTTAACAGTTAATTACATTTCTGCTTATCTAACCTTCTCGAACAGATTCGAATTTACACTGTGGAACAATATTGACAACACATACGAAATTACTTCCAGAAGTATGAAGTTGATCAATATTTTGGACTTTATCAATTGTAATATTGTAGAAACCTTAAGAAATTTTCAGATTAGTTATCCAGCTGCGGAAAAAGTTTTTCTACCATTTTCGATTGAACATGGTTTTTCTATTTCAAAACCATCCTTATTACAGGCGCCACGCTCGATAATCAAGTTGGAGGTCCCCGAATGGTCAGATACTTCAATATTCTACAAGAAAGAAGAAGTGGATATAACTTTAAACACATTTTATTTGCGTACACTTGTCGAATCCTTCTTGATAATTATTGGTTCCGATCTACCAGATGGCGTTGTCACAATCCTTGAACAACTCGAATCAGGCAATTTTAAACTCTCCTTTCCAGAGGAGTCTCTGGATTGCAGAAGAGCACTAATGAGAAGAAAGAAAGTCATTTGCTTTTAAAGTGTGTTGCGAACTTGGCACAGTTCTATATATGTGCAGGCTTATCCAATCAAACACCACACATGTGTATAATAGGATCAGTACGAATATGGCCTTCAAAAATACAAATTTATACTATTCTCAAAGTAACGAAATTAATGGACTGAACGCTCTAAATGTGGCGTGATTTTATGACTGTTAAATAATTGTATGAGCGGAAAAAATGCTTTCTCTAAATTTTCGAGGTCCTTATGGTCATTTAAGGCAACCTTTAAGTGGACACTCGGCGTTGCAAAGAGGATACCAAATTAATAATGATAAAAAATTAATAATTTTAATTTAGAAACCCAAGTTAATTTCGGCTCATATTATTAATAAAATTGTGCTTCAACCGAAATTTCATCTATGGCCTGATGTCAATAATTAGACTGAACACCTTTCGCTCACTAATAACCAATCCAATTACACGTCAAATACTTAATAACCGAAGGACAAAGTCACTTATCAAAGATGAAAGTCCGTCATTTTCGTATCTATCTGATTTAATACCCATAGAACTTGCCCTTATTTGCATTTGAGAAGTTGAAATAGTTAATAATCAAACTTTAAGAAAGACTTTGTAAAAATTATTAAATGCCCAAATCTATCATTGCCTATCTTATTTTTTATAAGTCACTAAAAATCTACTATTATATATCACTCAAAATTTATTATGCTCATCAAATGACTCATGCCAGCAATTAGTGGTTAAATTGGTGAAAGATTTTCAGTGTTCCCTAATTAAGAAAGAACTTGAGAGAGCTATTGATTTTTACTAAATGCTGGTAGACATATTTCAGAGACTAAACTTCACTCAATGCTTACCATTTGCAGTGAAGGCATCATTGTTTTATTCAACTTTGCTGGTACGTTTTGGACACAGTGTACACAACTTAAACCTGCTCAAGGCGATTTCAATATACGTCATGAAAATTAAAAAAAAACAGAACTTTGATTGGCATTACTAATTTATTGCTCCGCCTACTGTATTTAGTCGATAAAATTTGTGGCCGTTTGCAATTAAATATTTTCAGTTTTAATGAATTAAATTTTTCTCTCAGCTTCTCTCACGCAAGAAACCTTGCTTTTATTTTTAGACAAATTTTAGTAGAATTAAAGAATTACTGATTGAAGAGACGCAGAGTGTAAATTCATTTCTTTAAAAAAGAGTCCAAGAGCAATTTAAGATTAACTTGAACATTTCAAACTGTGTTTTTTAGACTTCACCATTAAATTGTTTAAATTGTTGAAGTAAGAAAGAAATTGTTCACTTCACATTTCATCCTGTAGGACTAAACAAATTGAATCTTTTACATTGCATTGTAATTCTTATAATTAAAAAATAAATTTTATAACTTTATTGACCGTTAATTCACGTGGCTCCATTTATTAATAAGTAAAACGAATTTAGATTTGACGACCATTCCACATTGAAATCTGTGAAATCGATTGCTATCCGCGAATATGTTATTGTAGCGCAATCATTGCAGTTCTGCTTTGGTCTCGTTCAGTGGACCAAGCAGTGTCTTCGCCCTGTTTTTGGCAAATTTATAAGTTATAAATGACTTCAAATTTTATTCTCCATTTTGAGAAAGCAAGGTTAAGTTCGTTTGTTTTTAAGCCACTTCAAATACTTCCAATTACATAAGCACTTAATAATTCAATGAATCCTGTAATTTTCAATGAGTATATAGCGACAAATAGATTGACCAATAGCAATGAAACAAAGAGACGAAAATGTAGAAATGATTAAAAGTTATTTCTACCAATACATCCCTTTCAATCTAATGGAATTTTCATTGAGTTACAAACGACTCAAGCGTTAATTTTCCATTACAAATACCATTACTCAAACATTGACTGCGATAATATGCAGTGATGTGTCAAGAAGCTTATCTTGTAAATCAAGTGGATCATTTGAAGGCACCTCATGATTCACCTTGAATGACTTGACTGTATCGCAGCATTTATAACTTCGAGTTTTAATGTGAGATCGGTGAACTCATGAATTAATGAAGACAATTGCAATGGTTTTTAAATTAAATGAATGCGAGCATTAGTCGCTGCGGTTTATTATCTACAAACCTGTTCTGCTTTTTTATAAGGCAAATTTTAATGCGAAATTTCTAATCAACATTGAAGGCATTTAGGAATGCTTAAAATTTTTTTTTACAATGTTTACATAGTAAAGCACAAGAACAGCAAAGCTTTAAATATATAATGCATTTTATTAAAAGCGAATGTAAGATGTATACATAAATAAGCCTTGCAAAATCTATGCACTTAAAATGTTTTAAAACTAAATGAACAAAAATCGTTTCGAATAA